TCTTATTTTTAAATTTTATTATCTATAATTATTTTTTTAATATTTTTGTATTTTAAAAAAGTAAATTAGAGCTAAATGAATACAAAAATACAAGCAAATTTGTCTGTATTGGTCTACAATCTAAGAGATAGCAGAGAATTAAAAAATAAAGAGAAATAACTATCTATTAATAAAAGATAGCAAACATTTTATTATACAAATTAAATATTTAATGAATAGCTTCACAATACTTATTAAACTAAATAAATAAAAACTAGATCTTTATAAAAGTAACTAATTATTTTTAGTATTACTGCTCTATACAATAAACTCAAGTTTAATATGAGTAATATTAAAAATAATTAAATTTAATAAAATCAAATGAAATAATGCACCCTTGACTCGTCAAATGAGATTTTTTTTTTGAAAAAAAATTTTTTATATAGTTGAGTACCTGAGACAACATGTGACAATTAGAAAAAAAACTCAGTCAAATGATTGATGCACTCAAACAAGAGTGAGTCAAAATAAGTCAAATGAGATAATACACTCAATTAACTATCAATCTCATTTGATACTCAAAAAAGTATATATAGAATTGATTTTTCTTCAAGTTGACTCTTACAAAAACTCAGTGCTAGATTTTGAATAATTACCTTTAAGAGTAAATTCTCTGAATAAAAGCACCATATGAATAATTAACTTTCTAGTTAATTATTCAACAAAAAAACAATAAGAAATTATTATTTTTTGTTCCTATATTATTAATATTTTTTAACAGAACATTGATTTCAGAAGGTATTTCTCACTAGCAAACCTACAAAATGCTACTAATTAAAGTTGTAGACATGATCATTTTACATTAGAATCTCTGTTTTTAGCTTAAACGAATTTGTTTTTGGAGAGTAATAATAGTTTTTCTCTTAAAAATATATACAAGAATTTTTTCTTTAAACATACAAGAAGTTCAACTTTAAAATTCTCTGAATTCTCTAAATGAAACAACAAAAATATTATTAGATAAACTTGTTTACATTGTATTCATTTGTTTGTATCTCAATTTTCAGAAAGATTGGATAAAAACTCGCAGAGAAATAGTAATTTTACATTTATATTTTTTTTTCTATTTAATATTCTTGATAAAAAATTTACTCTTCACTTTCAGATTTTGAGAATCCACATATTAACTTATGTTCAATTTGGCAAGTTAATAAAGAAAGGTCATAAAATTTTTCTTATAAAGTTTCAAGTTATTTGGATAAGTATTTGTCAATTTATTTAATTAGATCATTTTTAAAAATACTGAGAAATATCTAAAATTACATTTTACTCAAATTCTACTATGTTAATCGACTTCTGTGTATTAATATAAAATATGTATCTCAAAAAAATAATGCTAGTTTCATAGAACCATTTTGTATATTTTTCTAATAAAATTTATTTTATTTTTGTTGTTATAAATTTTTTATCTAATAAGTATCTTTGATACCTATTAGAATTTTAATCATGTAAATTTAAAAATGTCTGAAAAATCTTCTGAAAATCTATAAACTCTAATACAAGATTTAGAAAATTTAATTTTACTTTATATAAAAAGCTTGAAACTTTTTATAATCATGTTAAAAAAATTTTTAATAAAAAAACCTGTTCGTTTAAAATATTGCAATTTCAATTTGAGCAAAATCATAATGTATCAGAACTTGGAAGATATTATGCACAAAGATTTGCTAAACTGAGAGATGAGACTCAATACATATAGGAGAATATAATTTAGAAACAAAAAAAGGTTCAGGATTAAAGATGATTTTTGAAGCAAATATTCATTTTGAGTTTGCTAATAGTACAGATAAACATTGTTTAGCATATACATCAAAAGATTATAATAGATGCAAACTTTCAGAACATAATCCTAACTCTAAAAAAGAATTAAAATGTAAATATGATTTTAAGGATCTTTCAAAAATATGCTTATATTATAATAAAAATTGTAAAAGATCATTTGCACATATTAATAAAGATTCAACAATAGCTGGACTATTTTTATTTATTTTTGATGAATCTAAGTTTGAAAAAGAAAAACCAAATTTTTATAAAGAAGCAATTGTTAAAGTTTTAAAAGGAGAAGATGTAGATGAAGTTATTGTTGATTTATCTAAAAATTGTGAACAATAGGGATATACAATAAATAGTTTACGTGATATTGCAAAATCACAAAAGAAAAAATTATTAATCCTTTTAGAAATATTAAATAATACTGGAAACTATGTGTTTTCTATATTGATGGAGATAATGGAACTGGAAAAAGTGATTTTTGTTATCAATTATTTCTTGGATTATATGAAAGAGATGATATGAAACAATGAGAAGAATATAATAATGATGATTTTGATTATGATCGAGATATTGGAATTTTAATAGATGATTTCTATAGAAGAATGTCCTGAACTAATTTATTAAAGTTAACAGATAGAAAACATTATTGATTTGATATTAAATATGATAAAATACAAATTGTTAGAATGTATATTTGTATAACTGCAAATAGTTCTATAGAAAATCTTTATAAAAAATTACGTAAAAATAATTCATCTATAGATATTAATACACTATATCATAGAATTAAATTTATCATAAAATTTGAAGAAGAACCTATAGATCCAAGAATTGGAGATAGAAATATTTTACGAATATATAAAAAAGGAAATAAGCAAGATGTGAATAATAGAATTTTTGATATTGAATTTAATAGAGGTACAACTTTAGATGAAGTT